CAATTTCACGTGTTTCCCAGGCCTCTATTCCCACTACCTACTTGCTCACCCAGGGATGATAGTGTTGTCACCTCATTTCTGAGTTGGGCCTTCTAAACTCAGAGAGAAGCCAGGAGGCTAATGGTTGTAATTCCAGCACTTTGGGAGGAGGAGGACTGAGCATGACTTGAGGCCAAGAGTTGGGGACCAACTGAACAATATACCAAGACTTTGTCCCTAAAAAAAAAAAAAAAAATCCAAGCATGGTATTGTGTACCTATAGTCCCAGATACTTGGGAGACTAAGGTAGAAGGACCATTTAAGCCCAGGAGGTTGAGGTTACAATGAGCTATGATTGTGCCACTGCACTATAGCTTGGGTGACAAAGTGAGACCCTGTTTCAAATTAATTAATTAAAAACTAAGCTCAAAAAGAGTAAGACTAGCCCAAGATCACACAGAAAGATTAACAGAATTAAAATTAACTGTTTAGAGTAATTGCCTAACCAGTGGCTAGTGTTTTTATCTATTTCAACTCTTCCTTAGGAAAAAAAAAAAAGCATAGTTTGAGGAAACCTGAGGAGGAACTATGGCTAGGGCAAGGGAAGATATAAAGATATAAATAACATTAAGAACAATGACAACTCAATATGTGCTAGGCACAGTTTTAAGTACATTTTGTGTATTATTTCATTTAAACCTCATAGCAACCCTATGTAGTGATGACTACCATCAGCATCTGCATCGTACCAAGGAGAAAACTGAGGGTTCACCATCTAGAATGGCTTAAACTGGGATTATTAACCTAGGCAGACTGACACCAAAGATGGAATGCTCAATCACTACACTATACTGCCATCTACATAAAGGAAGGAAAATGAAAGGAGAGAAGCAGCAGAAAGAAAGGACAAAGGAGCAATACAAGTTCTTTCTGAAGTAAATTGACTGAGGCAGTCTACTGTCCGGTTAAGCACTAATGTAAGATCAAGGGTTAAGAACTACCTGGGTTTAAGTTCTACTTCCCCTATAATACTCATTAATCAATTTCTTTGGGCCTCAACTTCCTCATCTGTAAAATGAGAATAAGACTAGTCTTTCTTAGAGTTGTAAAATGCTTACAAAAGAGAATGAAGTGAAGTGCTTATGTGGTGAAGAGAACACAACACATAAGCACTCAATAGGAGTAACTGATGTCATTGACTGGTCACCTGTAGGATTTGCCTAGCAATACAGATTCCCCTGCCCCTTCTTCAGGAAAATCAATCAGGAAGGGAAAAATATATAAATTATCCATAAAAAGAACAACTAGACAGATTAACAGTTCTAGATATTGTTTCTCACCTCCCAGGGGTATGTGTTGAAGGAGAAGCAAGCCTCAGCATTATTAGCATCACCTCCTTCCACAAAGAACAGAACCTACCAGGTTACCCCTCATCCTCTGGTCACTTATAGTCTGAGTGAAAACTCTCCTTTTTCTTAAGTTTTGTTTTCTCATATCCTTTTCACATAAGTTTCTTTATGTTTCACATCAGCCCTATGAGGTACTGGGAAAGAAGGAAGTCATCTCAGATGTATTGAGTATCCTTGTGGTGGATACAATGCTGGGCACTTTCCATCAGTGCTTTCATTTCATCCTCAAAATACCACTGTGAATGGGTCAACTTATCTTCACTTTATAAATGATACCCCAAATTCAGCAAGTTTTTTTTCTTGTGTACATTTTCCCCTCATCCTTTATGTCTAGCACAACCCTAGCCTGAGATTGTCTCCTGCTGAGGATTTTCTATAAACTGAAATACAATATATTCTCAAGTCTCAGTGTCCTCAACACTCTGATCCCAAAGGCCAAAAATTGAGAGCAATTTTCCCCCAGTGGATCTGAGATCAGTTCTCTATTTATTAGCTATATAATTCTATACTAGTTACTTAGCCTCACCCACTATATCCTCACATCTAAAATGGGGATAATGATACCTTCTTTTTTTGTTTGTTTGTTTGAGACAGAGCCTCAAGCTGTCCCCCTGGGTAGAGTGCTGTGGCACCACAGCTCACAGCAACCTCCAACTCCTGGGCTCAAGCGAGTCTCCTGCCTCTGCCTCCCAAATAGCTGTGACCACAGGCACCCACCACAATGCCTAGCTATTTTTTGGTTTCAGCCGTCATTGTTGTTTGGCAGGCCTGGGCTGGATTCGAACCCACCACCTTAGGTATACATGGCTGGCGCCTTAGCCACTTGAGCCACAGGCACCAAGCCGATAATGATACCTTCTACTCTACAAGGTTGTGAAAATTACTCTCATGAAATGCTATGTCAATTGAGATGCTTCATAGAAATATTTAACATGGAATTATCAAGTAGCTTAATCTCAAAAGAACTTCATATGGGCGATGGAATGTGCTTGTATCTCTGACCTTCCATCAAACTGGACTCCTGATCTACCAACTACGGTTAGTAACTTTGGTAATGTTGGGGGACAAAGAATGCAGAAATTTCTCGAAGTGGCCATTGAGGATATGATCTCTGCCATTATCAGTGTGTAACATATAACATCATAAAGATATCTAAATCCTTTATATCACATGCTTCTCAAAACAATTTCATCTACATTATTTCATTTTGCGCTCACTAAAAACCTCAACTATTGGGCTTTACCAATTAAAATTGTCCCACTTGGTTTGTTACTATTTTCCCCTTCCTGGAAGTGGCCCATCTGAATTTGCAAAATCCTTCCCATCTTTCCTTCAAAATTCATTCATTACGAAGGACACCTTAATCTGGAACTAGGATCTAAATCCCCAGATCAGTCTTCCCTCTGCTTTCTGAATCCACACAACACTGTGCACCTTATACAGTCTTATACTTTAGTCATTTATATAAATGTCTTAAACTCTGTCCCTCTTTCCCCACCTTCTCACTAAATTCACCAGCTCTTCAAAGGTAAGAAGAAAGAGAGGGAAAGTTATTTCTTTGCTGTTGTTTTATGTCAGTCACATTTCATAAAGCTTGTTATTATGGAAATTTAAATATATATTTCATATATATATATAATATAATAAACACTCACGTATCCATCACCCAGCTTCAACAATTAACAACACAAGGACAATATTGCCTCCATGCCTCCATTCCTTCTTCCTTCTTATTTTGGATTATTTAATACGAAATCCCAGACAGCCTATCATTTCATCCATAATTACTCCAATATGGACCCTACATTTTGCATATCTGTGTCCCCTACAATTGGAAGATAACTTGCATCTAGGTTTCCTACTACTGGCAACACATCAGATTATATCTAAGTGTGCCTAGTATGTGCTGCGCTTGGCTTTGGAGATTCCATCTCAGCTAAGAAGGTACACTAGTACCAAGCCGTGATGTTCCAAACTGAGAATTGCTATAGTTCCAGGAAGTGAGCTTGTGGGAGTCCTGGGCAGGACCTAGAATTGTAGTAACTGAATTGAGGGGAATGTGTTTTCTCATCTCATGGTGACTTTGGGTTCGAACTCACCACAAGACGCTGGGTCTCCAGCAGGAGGTGCAGCAAAGGCAGGGGTTGTTGGGGAGTGGTTCCTCAGCTTCGGGGGAGGCGGGGGGTGGGAGCCTGGGAAGGCAGCCAGCACCGGCTGCCGAAGAAAACTGCAAGTAACCATGCTGTTTACTAGGTGAGGAAGACGCTGAGTGCCAGGGCCCAAGAGGGGCCCCGGAGTTCAAGTGCGCGGCACAGGTGCAGGGATGCAGCACAGGCTTCTCGACGCCGCGGGTTGCCCTGGCTGCTGTGGGTTCCCTCCCCAAGTGCTGCTCTTCCTAATAGAATATCTCGGAGCAGGGCACAAGACATAAAACATCTGATTACAACAAGAAACGAGGTGGGAGGAAGCCCCCACCGGGCTTCCAATGGCTTCTCATGGAGCTTGTTCTCCAGAGCCTTGTAAAAGCACGCCCAGAATGCCAACGAAGATCATTTTTCATTTTTGATCACCTTCTATTTTTCATTCCCCCTCCTTTTCCTAAGCTGTAACGTCCCCATAAAAGCCTTCTTTCCTCCGTGGGATTTTCCACTCCTTCCAGACCCCTTAAGGCCCCAGCCTTAGTGTCTGCAGGGACCACCACCACTCTGCAATACCAAATTTTGCAACTGCATTTTCTTCGGATTTTTCACTTCCTCAGCCCCTTGAGAACCTATACAAGTAAGGAGTGGGACTGGGGGTGCAGCAGAACAAAGAAACTAGGGAGCCCTTGTCCTGGGCCAGACATCCCTTCCACCACCTCCAACTAACTGAGAAAAGAAAGGGAATCAGAAGAGCGTCAAAACACCCCCCACCCGCCCAGGTCTCAGGACACTTTCCAAAGGCTAGCAATCCAAGGACAAGTAGGCGGTGGGCACGGCCCCCACGCAACACACAGACAGACCCCCATGAAACAGGCCTGAGGCTATAGGCACCAACGGCCTCCCCACTGGGCTCGGACATTTCATCTGCAGTTTCAGAAAAACCTGCCAAAAGCAGATATGCCTCACTGCAATGTGTAGCTCTTTCCTTTTTTTTAAGAGGGAGTGAAGCTCGCTCATTCTTTCCCCCTCCACCCCTCCTCCCTCAAAAAGAGCCAAATAGATGCAAGAAGGAAACACACACACACACACACACACACACACCAATCTCCGAGGGGATGCCAGTGAGGTGTGGCTTGTATTTAAATAGCCAGTATGTCAAAGTAAGAGGAGTGGGTATGTATATAAAGTGCCGTTTGCATCTGATAGCTCGGCCAACCAGCTATGAAAGGCCGGGGGAGATGGATGCTGAGGGGAAGGGGCACTCTTGACTGAGAGCGAGGTCAGAAACGTACTGCCCCACGCTCCCCGCCACCACTGAGAAGTTCCTTAGACGCGAACAGAGGTCGACTGCAGCTCCGCAGAGCACGGTGCAAGTGAGCTAGCGAGCCAGAGCCACAGAATCGCTGGCGCCCGCCTTGGAGAGAGGTAGTTCGCGCCCGGTGGCCTCGGCTTGGCCCGCGCGCGCCCTGCCATGGCGGAGGTGGGGGGGGTCTTCGGGTCCTTGGACTGGGATCTGCACGGCTTCTCCTCATCTCTGGGGAACGTGCCCTTAGCTGATTCCCCAGGTTTCCTGAATGAACGCCCGGACCAGATCGAGGGAAAGCTGCAGCGCGGCACGCCCATAGACTTCGCCCACCTGAAGGGAATTCTGCGGCGCCGCCAGCTCTACTGCCGCACTGGCTTCCACCTGGAGATCTTCCCCAACGGCACTGTGCACGGCACCCGCCAAGACCACAGCCGCTTTGGTGAGGACGCTGCCGGGAGGGGCGGGAAGTGGGCAGATGGCTCACTGGGGAGCGGACAGTTCGTGGCTACGGAGTGGAGCCCGCGGACCGCTCCCAGCTTGGTGCCATCCTGCCCATCCCGGCGGGACATGATGGCCCTGACTTGAGCCACGCGGTGTCAAGGCGCCCAGCACGATAGGACGCACTTGGAAGGAGAGGGGGTTGCCCTTGTGATGGGGCCTTTTCTTCCTGCTCTACACCTTCTCTCCTCTGGGAACCAGGGGCTAGTTATGAGAACTGGACTCTGAGTCTTGGACCAAAGCAGGTGGAGCTGAAAGAGGAGGATAGGAGCTCTCTCCTAGGAGGCAGGGCACCGTGGCTTTAGCGTGGGCCCAAGCCACCAGCAGATTGCCTGGAGCAGGAGCCTGCAAGGGCCAGCAGAGTGTTGGGCAGGATTTTGGCCAATGGGGACCGGCTGGCATGGCACCTGCCTGCCTCGGGGGTCTCTCTGCTTAGGGTAGGAGCCAATCCAGGCAGCACAGCAAGAGCTGCTTAGGTATCAGGAGATCTAGAAAACCTCGGGCATCCACCGTGTAAGGGCAGAAGGCCTCGGAGAGCTTTTGCCTGGAGCTACCTCTCAATTCTGCCCACTCCCAGCCTCAGAAGCAGGTGTCTCCTAGGCCTGAGACAGGAAACGTCCAACCTCCATCCAAGACTGTCTCTACCTGCCTGCCACTATGCCAGTTGTTCAAAGGACACAGCTGCCTGTCTCACACACAGAACTAATTATACAATTAATAAAAGGCTTGATCTGGACAGAGGTCATTCCGATTCTAAGCAAACTGTGATCACTCTTTAATAATTTCCCATTTTCATTTTTAATTTCCTATTCTCTACTGAGCCATCATGCAGGTACTGTGACAGATACACTTCTCCCTCCCCACCCCCAATCCTCCAATGCCCTCTTCTTCCTCCCTAGAGCTCTGTAATCTAAGAAGGACATCTTCTACCTCTAAGCCAGTAAGAAGCTCTGTCTACCCTTCAGCATGACATGGTCCCCTTCTTTGTCCCACCACCTCCAAACCTATCCATCCTCCTATTCTTCATGCCTTGCTAGAGCTGCATCTGCAGTGCACAGTAAAAAGAGGATCATAGGGGCCATTTGATAGGTAAGGCCAAGTCTAGCAAACAACTTAAGGCCAGGGTTAGTCTTCATTACTGGGAACAGTCAGGAACTCTAATGAGTTCTGTGTCATCTTGGAAAAATGCACTCAAAAGAACTGGAGTACAGTAAGTTCAGATGGGTAATGGAATCTGTATAAATCTGTAGTAGAACTACAAAAATAAATCTAGGTGCAGGTATGTGTATAAATCTGTAGTAGGTCCTCAAAAGGATGATAAGGCAGGGTGAGAGGAGAGGAAATATTAACTTGGCTCCTTTCCCTTCCATTCCTTGTGATTTTGGGGTCCCCTTTTGTTCCTCTTCATAAGGAGTGGGACTCTCACACTGGCTTCAGAGCCATTCTAAAATGGCCTAAAGATAGCTCATTGCTGATACATAGAAGAAAACTCATGAAATGATGGAGAAATGTGGGGTAGGGACAGTGAAGGTGGAGAAACTATGAACAGAGCTCCCAGTAGCTACAAGTGTTTATCTGATTCTGCCTCAGCTGAGCCCCAGAACCTACAAGGTCAACATAAAATCAGTAATGAGCTCCTTGGATAAGTGATCTTAATTACCTCTCTAAAGATACAACTTGATTTCTTTTCATCTCTAAGGCCTACTAAGGATGTTAAGTTTAAGGAGAAACCAAAGGACATAAAACTGGCAGGAGGAAGGGATGTTTTCACTGCTGCTTCAGTGCCTGCTTCATTTTGGGTTTTGCCTTAAACATACACACTCACACTGCTCAAGACCACATCTGCATCACCTTTTTCCTTTCTTCTTTCTCTGACTTCTTGGCAGTTCCCTGTATTTCCTGCAAAGGAGAAGATAACTGGTCAAAATTATCTCTTTGTAACCTCTGACAACTTTCAAACACACACTTAAACTTTCTCAGTTTATTTTTTGGCACAGAAAGAGGTGACATTTGAGTTTGCTAACTTTCTCCTCCCTCCACGTTTGAGTTAATCAGCTAGGGTATTCAATAAATCGAAACTTTAGCATTCCATAAGTGCTTTAGCAGTCAACATTCCAGCAGGGTAAAGTATGCCAGACTTAAGATATAAAATATTATAGATTTCTGCTTGAGAGGAGGAGGTAGTCTCCAAAGGCCATGTAAAGTAAATAGCTATTTGTTGTAATTGGAGAGCAGGGCCCCTGAGGATTACCTTGGAATCCATGTGTTCAGAACGAGTCAGGCTGAGCCCAAGAGCAGTCCTGACTCCAAATAATAACCTGTTGGCACAGCATATGCTCCCCTCTCTCCATCTTCAATCAGTAACCAGGAGTATTTCAATCCTGCCTGGCTGGTGGCATTTACATGAAGGATCCTGACATTCCTTAGGATGACATCCTGTGGACTGGCAGAGCAGAGCTTGCGAGTCAGACTGGAGGAGAGGCCTCCCACCAGATGGGATGGAGCAGACTTATATAGCTGCTTTGGTTTTTGAGTAGTCTGGTTCTTATTTGGCAAGATGCCAAAGCAGCACTGTCTTGGCCCTAAAGGTCTAAAAGGATGGCTAAGGGAGAAACTTGTGAAACAAGTTTAAATAATACATTAGACAGTCATTGAGCTAGGTTCTGAATCATTGGGGCTCAGGACAGGTCAGTTGTGATTGAAGCCCTAGAGAGTGAGGTATAATAAGAGAAGAGTCTGAAAATTGTTAAGAAAAGGCCAGAGTCTAGAGTGGACAGGTCAAGATGAAGCAGAGTAAAGGGAGATCCTGGGACTTGAAATAGAGTACTGAGGACAAACTTAATACTTTGCCTCAAAAGTATGCTGGTAACACCCCTATCCAGCTGTATCTGGGAAAATATGAATTGTTTTTTCTTCCCGTTCATGCTGGCTAGGATTCAGGAGAAGGTTTAGAAATATCTGTTCCATCATCATGTGCCACTGGGTTCCCACAGTTTGAATCCAACAAATAAGAAAGTTGGCAAAGGGAAATTATGCCCAACGACAGCTGAGCAAAGATGATTCCAGCTGTTAGAGACCCCTGTTACTAATCACAACCCAAATGACTTCCTGTATGATCTGTCCTTTGGCATCAAAGTTAACAGAGAGTTGGGGAAAAACTGTGGTGACTCAAGTGGCCACACCTCTTTGGTTTCTTCATTTGTTCTTACACTGGGTTTTGGGTGGTAAGATCACAAGTTGCTCTTGCTACTTAGTGAGCTTGGGGTGGTCAGATACCTGAGATACTTTGAAAATGAGGGAACTAAGACTTGAAGCTCCAGCATAATCTGCCTGAGCAAAACAAGAAACTGAAGGCTCCTGTGGGTTGGTATCGCTCAGAGTTTAGTAGCCAGAACTGTATCATGACTTTGTTTTTAGTTTCTTTGCCATACTGGTCACTCTTCTTTGAACATGCTCCTGCTTTGTTTGATTGATTGTTTGTTTGTTTTATCATATTCCTCTCTAAGCACAGTAGAACTAAACACAATATCTCAGTGTGGTCTAACCAAGACAGAGCAAATTAGACCAGTCCCCTCCCTTATGCTAGTTACTAATCTCTATCAATGCAGCCTGGAATCACACTAGCTTTTTTTCCTTTTTTTCTACTTTTTTATACTAGCTTTTTAATGATTTTTAATTTTATATTACCTGTTTTACATAAGCTTTTTAATAATACTGCTAATCACCTATTGTACTGAGCTTACCTTGTTCTGTCAAATCTCTTAAGCTATTGTTGTATGTGTTTTGCTAAGCCACATCTCTCCATTGCAGAAATGCAGAGACTTACATATAATTAAAAAGCACAGGAACACAAAATAACAATACATGTTTTCAAGGAAATATACATAGCCTGAAGTAGAGAAGTAAATGGGAACAGGGCATAGAGATAAAAAGAGATAGGTAACTGAAAAGCCCTTGCATAGACAATTATGATAATAGGCCATGAACTAAGCAGCAATTTTCAACCTGTGGCTCACAACCCCTTTGGGGGTCAAACAACCCTTTCACAGGGATCACCTAAATACATCCTGCATATCAGATATTTACATTACAATTCATAACAGTAGCAAAATTACAGTTATGAAGTAGCAATGAAAATAATTTTATGGTTGGGGGTCACCACAACATGAGGAACTGTATTAAAGGGTCATGGCATTAGGAAGGTTGAGAACCACTGAACTAAGGGATATGGTTAACTACCAGCACTGAGCATATTTTATTTATTCTCTTGAAATCTCTCTGGATCTCAATTGTGTCCTCCTTCTTAGCTATGTGTCTCCTGGAACTAGGGTAAGCAGTCCTTCTATGTCCTCTTTCATATAATTTAGCAAAATATTAAATAGAGCAGAATCTTATATGGTAAGATTTATGAACTTGTTTTATATTATTCCTGAAGATTTAGGTCCATTAAGTCAGTGTCTGATAACCCCCGCTGGGCACTAGGTATTTTGCTTTCTCCTCCTACCATCTCGTATCAATGTCTTTTCACCTGACTCATTTCTTTGTACTATATGAGTTAGTAACAACCAGACTAAAAATAAAATTTGGAGGATTTCAAAGAGAGGCCAAAGGCCAAACCCTAAGTGCTCTACAGAATGGCAGCAGAATTTTACATCCTTCCAATAGACCTGGGTGGGCTATGGAAACATATACTCCCACCAGAAATGCTGCACCTGAAAACAAGCCCATAGCTCAAGTCACTAGGGTTCCACAGAGGACTTCTCAGTAGAATTTAGAGTTTGGGGGGGAGGGGTTATCTGTTTTTTGTTGTTTGTTTGTTTTTGTTTTCTTGAGACAGAATCTCACTTTGTCACCCTCAGTACAGTCCCGTGGTATCATGGCTCACAGCAACCTCAAACTCTTGGGCTCAAGCAATCCTCATGCCTTAGCCTCCCAAATAGCTTGGACTACAGGCACCTGCCACAATGTCCAGCTATTTTTTTTTTTAGAGATGAGATCTCACTCTAGCTCGCTGATCTCAAACTCGTGAGCTCAGGCAATCCACCTGCCTCGGCTTCCCAGAGTGCTAGGATTCTAGGCATGAGCCACGGCACCCGGCTCTCAGTAGAGTTTTGAACGTGATTTCACAATTAACCTCTTAAAATTTTCTATCTTTAAGAAATTAGTTCCATTCCCTATGTAGATTACATAAAATATTACCCTTAAGAATTGCATGTTTTCAATAAAAAAAGACAGCCAGAAAAGAGCTCGTTTCGTACCTTCAGATGTCTCAAATAATCTTATATCAAATTTTTGTTCTGTGTATTGAAAACATTGCTAGAGACAGGAAAATCAAAGAGGAATCTAGTTGACGATTATTTCTGTGTCCACATTACTATCTCAGGACAAACTGTAGTCTTCAGGATCACCAGGATTTCAGCTCTGGAACCTCTTAATAATTAATTTATTTTCTTTTTCCTCCTGCTGCTGTTGGGTAAATGAAAGCATTCTCAAATCTTCACCTCTAACCTTGTCAGCTAAAAGAACATTTCTGAATTTCTTTTTGTCTTAAATTTGTAACATTTTGAATCAATGTTGAGTCCAATACCACTTGCCAACTCTTCACCATAGATAACTTAAAATTCTCAAGAGAGAAGGGGAGAAAGACAGGCTTGTCATCTTGGAGTTGTACTAACTGAGAACACATTTTAGGAGAAAGCTCTCATGAGGCCAAGTTTTGCTTCATGCCATATGCATGGGAACAAACATAGTGGCCTGTGTGGTCCTTGTTAGAGTTAGCTACAGGCAATCGACAGCCTCATGTGGCTTTAGGGATATGGGAGCTTGCTAGAGTGCAATACAAGTTCAGCTAGAGGCCAGCAAGCTAACAACTATGTACTCTAGGGAACAGGGAATTGACTTTGGTAAAGGTACAGAAACTTGACCTCAATATTACAGTTAGAAAGCTGCCTTCCTATTTCTTAATATGACTGGTATTTGACAGAAATAGCACCGTGTATTTATACAGTTTTATAGCCAAAGCCTTCTAATAATCTCTTCCTCACAATATAACTGAGAGTACTGAACAGAGACAGAGATGGTTTCTCCCATTTTTACATAGGGAGAAACTAAAGCCCAGAGTGACTAAGCTCCCTTTCTGTCTGAGTTCCATTCTTGCTTTAAAAGATGGTTTTGTCAGGCAATTTACCAAAGGCACACAGGGCTAAGCCTACAGTTGGGGACAAGTGACTGGTAACTCATATCATCTGCACAGTTTTCTCCTAACTGAACGTCAGCAGTGGGAATGGTGTTCACTTTTTTGCCCTAGGAATCCTGGAGTTTATCAGCCTGGCTGTGGGGCTGATCAGCATCCAGGGAGTGGACTCTGGCCTGTACTTAGGAATGAATGAGCGAGGAGAACTATATGGGTCGGTAAGTTTAAAGTTTTCTTTTCATTGGAAGCTATTACCAACAGTATTTGGACAATGTAAGGCAAACCATAAAAACATTTATCTAGCATTTGAAAGCACTTTTGTCAGCATTAAAGGATTAGAGTCTTCTAATTATTTCTAGGCTGCTTAGGGTCTTGCTATATGCATAGGTCATCATGAAAGTTTTGAGACTATGTTATGATCCATTATTTCACTTCCAAGAAATACAGTCAACAGTGTCCTTGCTGATTCACCTGTGAAAGTTTCAACTTGATTGGTTTATCAGTGTTGCTGGTAGGGCTGTATTTGTTTCTGTCTGTGCAGATTTTATGTTTCTTGATTTTTGTGTATCTCAAAACTTCTGTGATCACCCCACATAACACCTTCACTCATGCAGCCCTCATCAAAACATAAGCTTTTCTGTAACACGTTTGCTTTTGCCTTTTCCATTAGACAGCCAGCTAGTCTGAATGATAACAGTAAATTGTGCTCGTTTGTCATTTAGATGTTCAGTGTTTGGGGCATTAACCATCTCAAGGAATACATCTGAATTTTAATGAATGCCCAAATGAGGAGCAGACTAGCAGACACAAAAATAGTCAGTGGAAAATCTGGCTTTCAAATTGAGGATTCTGAGGTTAACAGCACAGTCCCTTATTTCCAGATTGTTTCAGCTGAGTCCCAAAAGCCAAATGAAACAAACAAGTGAAGAATGAAGGTTCCAAGGTCTGGTGAAAGCCTTACGCCCCTAGCTAGGACTGGACTGGCTGCAATACGTTTTCTCTATTCTAGAAGCTAGCCCAGAGGTAGGGAATAGTGGGTGATTTTCTTACCTTAACCCTTTCAGGGGATCCCAACTCTTGGCTCTGGCTTTTAAGTCATACAGCATACCCCATGAAATCAGAACACATTTTTTCCTGACACCTAAGAGATAGGCCTGTCCCCAGCACTTGGTATCAGCAACCATAGCAAGTAGTATGGCAGCTGGATTAAGTGTGAGAAGGGACAGAGGCAAGAGATCCTGGAGCTGCCAGCTTCAAGTAGCCATATTGGAGGACCTCTCCAAGGAGATCTTTTCTAAGCTTCTCAAATGACAGTCCTGAGATCCTCCATTAGGAGAGTTCATAGCTCCCATGGAGCTTTATACCTACCAAAGGCCTGTGCCTATCAGTTGATATGGTTGACTATAATCTCAATGGATTTGAACGTCATTAGTCCTAAGTAGGGAGAAAACTCAGTGAGTGCCAGCTGGGCACTGGGAGGCTGTAGAAGCAATTCTTGGGCTTAGAGTGCCAGATAAGGCCATCTTCTCCAATCTCCTCCCTTCAAGAAAGATCTCACTTAAAACATTTTTTGTGTACTTCTTGAAAGCGAATGAAGGAGATACAGATAGGAGTTTTTTGTGCTATTTGGAAAAAGATACTTCATTAATATGAGGAGGTAGGACTGAAATTTTCTAACATCAATATGCTATTGCTATTTCAGGGTTTCTCCACCAACAAGTTAGAATGGGAAAAATAGTTCTATAATGAGATCTGATTTATTTTCTCACCCTCACAGAAGAAACTCACACGTGAATGTGTTTTCCGGGAACAGTTTGAAGAAAACTGGTACAACACCTATGCCTCCACCTTGTACAAACACTCGGACTCAGAAAGGCAGTATTATGTGGCCTTGAATAAAGATGGCTCACCCAGAGAGGGATACAGGACTAAACGACACCAGAAATTCACTCACTTTTTACCCAGGCCAGTAGAACCTTCGAAGTTGCCCTTCTTGTCCAGAGACCTCTTCCACTATAGGTAATAGACCTCTGATGTAACCTCTGTGACCCATGTACTCTGGGGTCATAGTTTTCTATGCAAGCACTATATTCATTGCTTTTCAATCCCTCCTTTCTATCAATCTAGATAACAGAGAAACACTTACTGTTCATCTCAACCCAGCTGTTCTCTTATTCAAAGTATATATCAAGGTTAGGTTATTTTGGGGAGGGACATTAAGGGAGAGATGGGATCAAGGGAATCTTGTAAATACTTTTTCTTTTCTCATGTGCTTTTCTCTAAGAGGGCATGACAAAGAATGGGGGCCCCTGCCAAGGCCCAGAGGTGTCTTGCCACACAATCTACCCAAATACTTTGACAATGGGTATAAATGAAAGACCAAGGAATCTTTCATAGAAGCTACTTACAGAGCTTTGGAAAAGTCTCATTAAGATAATCCTTGGGTGGCTCGGCGCCTATAGCTCAACCTGCTAAGGCGCCAGCCATGTACACCTAAGGTGGCGGGTTCGAATCCCCAGCCCAGACCCACCAAACAACAATGACAGCTGCAACCAAAAAATAGCCGGGCGTTGTGGCGGGCACCTGTGGTCCCAGCTACTTGGGAGGTGGAGGCAGGAGACTCGCTTGAGCCCAGGAGTTGGAGGTTGCTATGAGCTGTAATGCCATGGCACTCTACCCAGGGGGACAGCTTGAGGCTCTGTCTCAAAAAAAAAAAAAAAAGATAATCCTTGGGAGGCTCAGTGCCTATAGCTCAAGTGGCTAAGGTGCCAGCCACATACACTGGAGCTGGCAGCTTCTAATCCAGCCCAGACCTGCCAAACAACAATGACAACTATAACCAAAAAAAAAAGCCAGGTGTTGTGGCAGGTGCCTGTAGTCCCAGATACTTGGGAGACTGAAGCAAGAGGATCACTTAAGCCTAAGAGTTTGAGGTTGCTGTGAGCTGTGATACCACTGCACTCTACCCAGGGCAACAGCTTCAGATTCTGCCTCAAAACAAAGAAAAGAAAAGAAAAGAAGATCCTTACAGCTATAGCCCTGCTGCAAGCCATCACTACATTGGTTTTGCAGATTTCTCATCTGTCCTGACATGCAATTTTCCTGTCATTGGAAGTGGGAGATGGGGTAGGTTGTAAGAAAATGATATAAAATCTAAGCATGGATATTGTGCATAAAGACAAACTATGAAAATGTATATGCTATTTATTTTATGTATTTATTTATTTTTAAATAATTTTATTTTTTATGAGAGATGCTATGACTGGATTTTCATCAGAAGAATAAGGTCCTACTGAAACAGGATAAAATGAGTTATTAAAGGCTTTTATTGGCAATAAAATTGTCTTTATATTGTAAGAGTCTGTCTAATTCTATTTATTTGTACATATAGTAGTACTAGAAGGTTGGCCAGCTTCTTTATATCCAACTCATTAGAATTTTCTTCTGTCAGCATCATACTGCCTATGCTAGATGACTCCATCATCCAATGTTAGCATTATCTGGGGGCCTTATGTGAAGTCTTAGTTGTCCTTTCCAGTTCTGGGACTTTAAATGTAGCAGTGAAAACTTTAGGAAGGTCTGGACCTACAGCTCTTACCGAAGCTCTCATTTGTTCTTAGGATAAGGCATAGAGAAATACTTCTTTGGGACTTGGTTAGGGGCCAAGCTCTAAAATCAGAGACACTCATCAGTGGCTTCTTACTTCAGATTTAAATACAGAAGGGTTTCAAAATAAATAACAATCAATATAGAGACTGATTTTTTTCTAACCTGTCAACTTCCCTTCTAGAAATGTTATCCCCCTCTCCCTGTTTACCCTTAACCCCTGCCAGTGCTTCTTTCTCCTAGGAGTTCTGTGAAGCTGTCAACACATTATCCTAAAACAGTAGTGTTCAAAGTACTGTATGTTGTCTCTTGACCAATAGTGTCACCTGGGAACTTGTTAAAGATCAGAAACCCTGGGGGCAGTGCCCAGCAATGTGCATGATAACAAGCCTTGCAGCAGGATTCTTGCGCACACTAAAGTTTAAGAACAACTTCCCTAAAGGAATATTTTTTAAAAAAATATTTGTTTTTAAAGCTGAATGGCTTATTAATAAAGTTTTTGGGTAACTTCAATCCATAAAATGAAAGTAGAGTGTCTGTAGTTAAAGTGGGGATGGTATTCCTTGGCATTCCTTCTTCCTCAGAACAGCCCCTGAGTTATCTTGCTTAAAATAATTAACCTCTTTGCTGATATTTACTGATATAGGAGCACAGGGCTATTTGCATTTTCATAGCAATGAGTGTTGTCAGGAGACAAGAACCAAAGGGATAGAAGTGTTATTGAATACACAGACACCATAAAGCCTGGTGGGAGAAAGTTTTGTGTTTGGAAAACAGTTCCTTCTAGTACTCCTCAGTCATATGGTGGCATTTACTATTCTTCCAACTAAGTGTACAGCTATGACAAACAGCTTAGATAACAGCTCATTTAAAAAGCAAAACCAGAAGTTCTATAAAAGCTCACCCAAATCTACCCAACAGAGAAGTCATGAATAGGAGACTATATACATGGAATAGCAAATAAGACTGTATGTTAAAATGTGCTAAGTTATGTGGCTTGTATGATCATAGACTATAATGCTCATCAGCAGAACAACCAAGGTGGAGATCTCAGTGGAATAGAATGATTAGGGTGAGTTTTGCAAAAGAAACAATACCTGCTATGAAAAACCAACAGGATTTGGAGAGGCAAAGAGGCTGAATAGGATGTTAGATGTTTTTGTTGGGATTTTGGAAAGAGAAACCACCTCTAGAGGTCTTTGGGAGAAGTGCAAAAATCAGTTATGTGACTTTTTTATCCTAATAATTTTTTTATGAACAGAACATTTTATTTTAAAACCAATTTTTTACCTACATTATCTATGTGGAGATGTTGAAATACATAGAGCTTTTGATACAATGCAAACTGTAATTTCTGAGGACTTGCAAGATTCATGAGATCTGTTGTATTCATCAGTATTACTCTAACAGGGCTCTTGACATGGGCCTGGCAAAGTCACAAGCACCATACTGCAGGGCAGGATTTGCAAGCAAAATGCCACTGTAATGTAAAAGGGAAGGACTTCAAATGCTAGGGTCAGTCCTTACTTTTTCCTCTGGATGAAAGTAGAGGGCATAAGACTAGAAGAATGGTATATGGCTCCAGGTTGCAGGAGAAGCACACTCTTCTAGGATATTCTTGAACTTTAAGGGTAACAATAAATAGAGCATGTAGCCAGAAAATAGCAATGGGCAACTATTTTTATTTTCAAAAAGAGGGGAAAGATAAATTCTGGAATTGGAAATATAAAAGGGATGACCTAGTACCACTAGAACAATTGACATATGATTGACCCTATATCCCCAAAGTGCTAGAGTAATGAATTTTATGATAGCCAAAAAGGAATTATAGAATACTAAGCTCTGTGACTCAGGTTTTAGACAAAAACATGTGCAGAGGTCATTTCTTATTCAGCTTTTCATCCCTTCCCAGTGTTTAGAACATCATTCCTGAAACTAAACAGGGACTTGGGAAATTTTCATTGAATGAATGAATGATTGGTTGAAAGAATGAGTGAGTAACTGAATGAATGAGCAAAGACATAGTTGATTTCTTAAATATATATGACACAAATATTGGCTAGAGAAAGAATATGCATTTATATAGCAGAATCCTCTGAAGTTTTAAGTTCTGAGTATACCAAATAGGCACAATGACAAACTAGACTGTGTCTCAGGTGAGGTAGTAAATTTCCTGCCACTGGAAGTGTTTAAGCAGAGGCTGGACAACCACTTAACAAGGATATTGCATCATTTAGAGGGGATAGGGTGAATATTAGCTAAAGATGGCGGGATGTGGCATTAGTTTACTAACTACATATTCTGTGGAACTCTCAGAATTCTGAGAACCAATAGTGTTCCAAGAAAGAATATATAATACCCAGGAGTGCTACCTAATTGCTATTTCAGGCCAAGAAAGACATTATAGATCAGAGGATCCAAATGTGGGATTCACATTTGGTCCTTGAAGGTCCATGAAGGTCCTTGAAGGTCCATGGAAAGCCTGAAGTCCTTGGGACTGAACTCCCTAAAATAGTATGCAAAATTTTATGTAGATGTCCATTTGGCCTTTCACTGGTTCTGAAAGGATCCCCAAAAATGTTAGCAACAACTACCCTGGGAGTTTCTAGACCCTCAATGTTGTGGCATAAGAATTGGTAACCATTGTAATCCTATTTGAAAATCTTAACAGAGTCTTTAGGTGTTTTATTTTTTCAAAAATAGAGATTTTGTGTGTGAAACCTTTGACTCATATTCTCTAAGACAGTGATTTTCAACCAGTGCACCCTGGCAACAAGGAGGTGGGAGTGAAGTGAGGACAGAGGGGAGGAGCTAGGATGGCTATATTGCTCAGTGGTACTAAAAAAAGCCCAGCCCTGGGTGGTGCCTGTGGCTCAAAAGAGTAGGGCGCTGGCCCCATATGCCGGAGGTGGTGGGTTCAAAAACTGGCCCCAGCAAAAACTGAAAAAAAAAAAAAAAAGCCCAGCCCCAGGTCATTCTTGACAGCAATTCTGAGAGCATCAAGACTCTTTTTCCCCTCCACATACAGCCCTCTTTTCACTCCATTTCCACTTCCAAATATTGTTTATGCTCATGAAACAACCAGAGACTGAATCCAAGCTGAGACACAAGGAGCTCATTCGAACCATCAATACCCTCCCTAATCAAAGGCTTGAAGAACCCAAGTTTATCATCCCTTCAAGTCACTGTAATGTCAGCCACTTAATTCCTAGCTATGTAGTCAGAAATCCATCAGGCTCAGGATTCTAGAGAGGCCACAAATCACCTGGGCTCAGTCTGTGTTGTCTGGAGTGCAGCCCCAACCTTCCTCCTCTTGAAGAGGTTTGACCTTGGGGACTGCTTTCCTTCTCTCCACAGTAGCTGGAGCTACATTGTCTTTTCCCAGGATTTCATGAGATTAGATCAGTCATGGAAGAA